TCAGAGGGTTTTCCTTTCCACTCTGCACGTGACTCTCACAAGCCTGAACCCTCCAGCAAAATGTTCCTTCCCATGAACACTGCTCCCCTCGCCTCAGAGCAGATGCCTGGGCAGCTTCTCCCTCGCTCTCCTGCCGGGGGCAGCGGGCAGAAACACCCGCCTGCCCCCAGGGACATCGGTGAGCCCCCATCCCACTCAAGGACACAGCAAGGTCACTGGTATCTCACAGAAAGACGAGAGCAAAGGGAGCCCCAGATAAGGTCAGCAAAGGTGATTGGCGGCCTGGGGGCAGGAGCAAGGCTGGTCACAGAACCAGGTCAGACTAAAGCCCTGTCAACACACCACCGTTGCCCTGCTGTCACCACACGGGCAGATTTTAAATTGGTGCAGCCCCTGTGTCCCTTTGCTTAACTCGGCTCCAAGCGGGTGTGCAGACAAGCCCGGCAGCAGAAAAGACAGAAAACGAGCCAGTGGTCCCCATGCACCCCTCGCCCAAAGGGAGAAGAGAAGAGCCCAGAGAGAAAGCCAGCAGCTGACGGAAGGGACACCCAGTGTGTTGCTAGACCGTGGCCTGCTGTGCCAGGCCATCACCAGGTACCACACAGCGGGGGCAGGATTACGTGGCTGCGATCGCTCCTGCTTCTGGGGGCGGGCATGGCAGGTCTGGCACAGAGGTGCCTGGCTGCGGCTGCAGCCCCCAGTCCGCCCCCCAGCAGGGGCCAGTCTGAGAGGAAGCAATGGGGGGCAAGCTGCGGACACAGCTGCTGCAATCCCTCGGGCTGCTCCCATGCTGATGGAGGAGGGCAGGTCTCACAGGCTCTGCTGATGGAGGAGGGCTGGTCTCACTGGCTCTAGCTGCTGGATCCCCTTTGGCCAGCTGGCCCAGTAACCTGCCGCCCTGACCAGCCCTCAGAGCCAGCGCGGGGAGCTGGGCCCACACACTGCCCAAAGGCCCCTTGTGCCTCACCCCCAGCTTCTGCCTGCTTGGGGGGCTGGAGCCCCAGAGCTCTGCCGCACCCCAGCCTGCAGCCCCCGGGGGCCAGAGCTCCCCAGGAGCAGGCAAGGAGGCCAGCTGGGAGCCCGGGGCGGGGCCAGGACAGGCTGAGGCTCCGCCCCCTCCGCTCTTTACAGACCGTGTCGAACTCGAAGCCACCCCGCCCCGGGCCCTCCTGGGGTTTAAATAGGCGCGCAAGCCCCGCCCCT